TTTTCTTTGTCAGCAGAAATCCGTAGACTGCCAATTACTCCAATTAAACCCTGCTGCTGCAGCAGCAGCAACAGCAGCAGCAGCAGCAGCAGCAGCAGCAGGAGCAGCAGCAGCACTGCAGCAACAAGCGCCAGCAGCAGTGAAGACAGCAGCACAACAAACGACAGCAACGCAGCAGCAGAAGGCTCTCCCCCCCAAGGACCCCGTGATGCTGATGAAGACAGCAGCAGCAGCAGCAGCAGCAGCAACAGCAGCAGCAGCAGCAGCAGCAGCAGCGTGAAGGCTGAACAAAGCAGCAGCAAGACGCCCTCAAGCACACCCCCTGCAACAACAACAGCAGCAGCAGCAGCAGCAGCAGCAGCAGCAGCAGGGAAGGGGAGCTGCTGCTGCTGCGGAGACACGGAGCAGCAGGCTGTGCTTCGACTCAAGCCCATCATCATCACCTACGAAGAGCAGTCTCCTTTCCTCGCCAAAGAGGTATTGCTGCTGCTGCTGCTGCTGCTGCTGCTGCTGCTGCTTGCTGGTCTTCTGCTGATGCTGGGGTAGTAGTGTGTCTTTGTTGCTGCTGTTATTGCTGCTGCTGCTGCTGTTGCTGCTGTTCTCTCTTTTCTGCTGCTCTTGCTGTATTCCGTGGGTTGCGGTGGGCGACATTTGCTGCTGCTGTTACTGCTGCTGCTGCTGCTGCTGCTGCTGCTGCTGCTGCTGCTGCTGTTGCTGCAGGCGAACCGCCAGTCCCGCAGAGAGGCGTGAGCTCCCCTGTCGTAGCGTTGCTCGAGGCAGCAGCAGCAGCAGAATTGCTGCTGCGGTTTCTTCTGGGGCCTTTGATCGCACACACCGCCTAGCTAGCTGGCTGGCTAGCTAGCTAGCTGGCTAGGTAGCTAGCTAGCTGGCTAGCTAGCTAGCTGGCTAGGTAGCTGACTGGGCAGCTAGCTAGCAGGCTAGGTAGCTAGTTGGCTAGCTGGCTAGCTGGCTGGCTGGCTTGCTAGCTAGCTGGCTAGGTAGCTAGCTAGCTGGGTAGCTAGCTAGCTGGCTGGGTAGCTAGCTAGGTGGCTAGGTAGCTAGCTAGCTGGGTAGCTAGCTAGCTGGCTGGGTAGCTAGCTAGGTGGCTAGGTAGCTAGCTAGCTGGGTAGCTAGCTAGCTGGCTAGGTAGCTAGCTAGCTAGGTAGCTGGGTAGTCAGCTGGCAACTCCATAGCGTCAGCGGCAAGCAAACTACGTTGGCTAGCCAGCTAGCTACCTACCTACCTTTTGATGTGGCTAGCTAGCTAGCTAGCTGTAGCTACCCAGCTACTACCTGCTTAGCTAGCTAGCTGGCTAGCTAACTGGCTATTCAGCAAGCTAGCTAGCTAGCTAGCTAGCTAGCTAGCTAGCTCGTGTGCTGGGTGTATAGGAAGTGGGGGGTGAAGCGGCTGGTGTGTAGAGGCCTGCCCCCGCAGCCAGCTGGCTAGCCAGAGAGGCAGCTAGCTGGGTAGCTGGCTAGCCAGCTAGCTAGCCAGCCAGACAGCTAGCTAGCTGTCGACTCCAGGAATCCGTTTTAATTTTGGCGAGCCAAAGTTTCATAAACAAATGTTAACCAAGTCGCTTCAGCAGCAGCAGCTGCTGCTGCAGCAGCAGCAGCTGCTGCTGCTGCTGCTGCTGCTGTTGGCCACGCATTCCAGTTCTTACGCAGTAGCCGCTAGCTATTTACCCTACTAGCTAGCTAGCTAGCCTACTAGCTAGCCAGCCACCTAGCTACCCTACTAGCTAGCCAGCTAGCCAATCAGCTAGCTAGCTAGCCTACTAGCTAGCCAGCTAGCCTACTAGCTAGCCTACTAGCTAGCTAGCTAGCCTACTAGCTAGCTAGCTGGCGAGCGGGCGAGATTGCTACCACAGGTCAGAGCCGCGAGCAGCAGCAGCAGCAGCTCACAACTCAAACGGGGCTAACGAGCACTTACCCCCTTCATGT